AAAGAAAAATTTTAGAGGATTAGAATAAAAACATCAATTAATAATATAATAAAAAAATGGATTTTATTTTTAGCACTCCTGTTTAAAATATCAAATATTTTAAAATATAGTCTTTGGTCATTATTAAATATATTATAAGTACCTTTTTATAATTTAACTTCCAGGAATTATATTGAATCATATTTATATTAGGATCTAGCTATGTATCATTGTTGGATTGAAATATGCAAAGAAAATAGTTGTCTAATTGTAAGTATAAAATGAATGCATTTATTTTTTTGTAAGTATAAAATAAATGCGTTATATTCACTTATCATTTGCAATATTTATTTAAATATACTTCGTATAAATATACTTCATATAAAGCAATAATTTTGTTACGAAATAAAACATCATTTTCTCTCGTGAAATACAAATATCATTGTATAACGGCAATGTCTTCAATGAAAATTACGATTTCACGCCGAAGAGAGTATATAGTCGAAACTCACCAACGAAAATTGCCTCGGAACTGAATCATCCTCTGAGATGATTTATGGTCGAGCTTCCGTCACTCGAAGAAATAAATTCGCTAGCTGAAATAAATTCATTTCTGTGAAAGGTTTCGATCGTCCGTAAGCTGCGGTTGTCTGATGATGTCTACTTCTTGAAGGGCTGCGAGAAACGAACTTTATGAATAAAATAGGAAGCAAATATTACTGTTTCAAAAAATGGCTGTAGGAGATGTGAGATTGTTCTCCACAAATCTTGCCGTATCTTCCTTATATAATGCTAATCCCTCTGTTCCTATCGAAGAGAAAGAAACTGTCATAAAATTTTGAGTACATGGAATTTCGTCGCGATTATATTCAGAGTCGATTAAATCAAATCTATTAGATTATTGTAATCTAGTCTTGACATTATAGTTAGTATTGTCTAGTATTAATGCTTCATTATTAAAACCATTAGTTGTGGATTACTCTTAAAAAGAAAATTCATATTTTTATTCAGAATATCGAACAAAACATTTAATAGTTATAATTGATCATAAAGATTACGTTATAAATGATGTTGTTTCATTTCAGTACCGTTTTATATGTTTTAATTTTAATTAAATAAAATAATGATATAATTAGATCCCATGTACTACTAATTGCGAATCAGTTCATCAAATGCTTTATCCTTTTTGGATTTAATTTTAACTGAACGTGATATTGTATATGTGCAGCTGTCATTAATAAATAAAAAACAACTGATACTTGAAAACGATAAAAGAAATGTTAAAGAATCTTGTGATATGCATCATTTGATGGAAAATATTATAAAGGCCGCAGCACAGATTTTTGCGTAACGCATAACGCATAGTGCATAAGAAAATCAACCAATCAAAGTTGCTCTTTTCCATGAAATAGAAGGAAAGGAAGAATTCTGATTGGTTAATTCTCTTATGCACTATGCGTTATGCAAAAGTCTGTGCCATGGTCTTAATTATTTAAATGTAATATGTGATCCGGAATTTATTTCATAATTAAAAAAAATTTCATTTATCTTTATCTAAAGAATATATATATCATTATCAATATTTATTTGATTGTAAATCATCAAAGAAACAATACAAAAAGATAAATGTAATAGGCTAATGAGAGTCAGCAACGATAAACGGCGCAATTATTATATTTATTTTTTTGTATTGTTTCTTTGATGATTTACAATCAAATAAATATTGATAATGATATACATATTCTTTAGATAAAGATAAATGCAATTTTTTAAAATTATTTTTTTAATTATATTTTTTAAAATTATTTATTAATATTTTATGAAATAAATTGCTCTAAACATTGATGTCTTCTTTATCTGAGTGACACAGTCGTACACAGACTGTGTTCTAAAAATGTGTGATTTTTATATTTGATTTTAACAATTTTACTTTTTAAGTTTTAATATGTTCAACAAAATTTCAGTGCAATACTTCATGTTCCGTGATGATTAACAACGCTGCATTTTTGTCAATTTGCGTGACTTAGGCATTATGGACATTTGAGCTAATTATACTTGTATCATTCTTGCTGAAGAGGATTCCAAAGAGAATCGAAACAAAGAAGACATCAATCCAATATCTGAGTATTGATTGTTCATTAAATAATTGCGCCGTTTATCGTTGCTGATTCTCATTAATCTATTATATTTGTCTTTTTGTATCGTTTAAACTTTCGAGAGTCCTAATATAATTATTGTTATTGTTCATCAAAGAAAACAATAAAAATTGAGATATAATGTTGAAGGGCCAGAAACACACCCACGCAAATAATATAAGGCTAATGATGAAATGAGAAAAATATTGCTTTAATTGTTAAATAAGATACATAAAATCGATTCATTTATCAAATTTAAACATAAGATGAACATGACTCGTGTTCTTCATGCAAATAGCTGCATTCGCCGATGACATTCGCGCTCGTGCAACATTAACTTTACTCGTGTTTGGATGTTTCTACCTCATATAGTTTATGGTCCCCTCCTGTAAAGAAGAAGAGGCACGGATACATCGTAAAACCCTAAAAAGAGGACAATAGAATGAGCCCTTATGCGCGTAGCCGAGGATGATTTGACAAACTCTCGATCGTATACGGGGTTGTATGAAACTGGGGTTATACGACGAAAGGTATGAGATAGCGTTGGGCACGAGCATCGAAATCACCATAAAAAATTGTGCGTGTCTAACGCGCAGATATAATAGCTGCATTCGCTAGATCGTATATTCGAAGGGAATTAAACTGTGTGGTATCGTAATCGCGATCTTTGAATTCTAACGACGCAGGAGGGAATCGCCATGTAGATGAATTGCAAGACTTTGAATACAGCGGTCTCCCTCTCTCCTGAAAATTTTTAAGAACTAAAAACCATCAAGATAATTAAAAATCTCAAGAAGCAAGAAGAATAGAAAAATTCTTTGGAGTTGATATAGATAGACAGAAAAATAAACGATATAATGTGGAAATACACTCGTTAACGAAACATAATATCGCAACATAAATTTATACCAAAATTGTGCACAACTTTTTCTCGTTCTCAAGGATAAAATTTGTACTTTAAGAAGCTTTCGATAAATTTTAAATTTATCCTTATTTTTATTACATAGGTATCTTTTCTAAAAATAACGATATGTTACATCTCCAATAATTGTATAATTTGACGCATTCTATGGAGTATAATAAATTTTTTAAATGTCATGATAATCATTGTAAAATATGGACTTTTTTGCAAATTATAAAGAAACTAAAGCTTTGTATGATTTTTATACTTCATATACTTCATACATACTTCAAACTTGTTAGTATTGTAGTATTGTATTTTTAATTGCAATACACATAGGAAAAAGTGAAAATATATATTGTTGAAAGATTTTTTTAATGCGCTATTCACTTATTGCTTACCATATTCATAAATAAGTACAATCCAAGCACAGGATCTACTATACTATATATAATAATATGAAGGTTGCTACTTATAATTAGTTCAGATATCTTTAAATGTATTTATCATCGGATTCTTATGTAATTGCATATTTTTTTAGAAAGCATGAGAGATCAAAACAGAAATTTGTTTTACTGAAAAGACATTCTAAAAATATATATTTATTTGTGCATATATTTATATATTTTGTGTATATTTTCATATTTCATCTACGTAAAAAATGCGATGTCTATTTATCACAAATAAATGTATTAAATTGAATTTTTCTCAATTAATATACTGCGACTTTACGCAACAATTCCGTTTCAGAAAATCGCCCGCGAGGGGAATGTCGAACGAGGATATCAATTAAGCCTCGATCCGATTTCATCCCGCCTGAAAGACGAATCCGGCACAAATGTCGGATATTCAAGGGTGCACGAAAGCTCATTTCTCGATCCCGACGATACCCCTGTACGTCGACGTTTCCGGCATCCGGTTCCGGTTGCGATTTTTATACGGAGGGATAGAACAGAGGTGAACGATGATTCCACAGAATCTGAAAAGTCAGTGGAGCGAAAACGGCGGGCACGCAGAAAGAGGGTTCGTCCCGCGACGGCAGAAGAAAGGGAAGAAAAACAGTTATTGTGCATGGAAGAAGGGCTGGAGAGAGAAAGTGAGTGAGGAGATGAGTCTACGCCGAAACGATACGTCGTCGCATCCGCCCGGGTCCGAGAATCACGGGGTGTCATTTGTCAACGGGGGCGCACGTGACGCTCGCACGAAATTTCGCCGGAAATTCGTCGTTTGCTGAACAGAAGCGGTGACGCGAATCCGAAGCTTGCGTCGTCGCCATCTTGGAGTCTTGACATTTTCTGGGATATTTGAGAAATTTCCGTCGGACATCGTATATTTTTGGAAGGCATATTACTGAAAAAAAAGTCTGATAATAATAACAAATCTAGATGATACTGAAACTTTCCCAGATAATAAGCAGACGTTATTATGTCGTTATTTTGACTCAAAATGTCAAAAATTATATTGTTTTAATGACAAAATGACGACAAATGACTTTATAGTTTTGCAAGGAATACATCAAGGGAAAGTAAAAATGATTTTATTTTGACGTTATAAAAGTCAAAATAATGATTTTTTGTTATAAAATTTGACTGTTTATTGATGTTAATAATCGAAATAAAGTTATTTTGATTTTTTGTTGACTTTTGTGTGTTTCTTGGGTTGCTTGGGTTAGTGAAATCGTTTCAATCAAATATTCGATTACCAAAGTAGCACAACAGTGTCTGCAAACGCTAAAAAAGCGCTTATATACGTTCACTTTTTAAATGCTTTTTTAATGCTTTGTAGACGCTATATTGCTACTTGGGAAATATAACCAAAATTAGCTAAACGCATATATACTTTACTCTTCTAATATTATTTTTTCTAATTATTACCAAACAATTAATAATTACTACTATTATTTGATAATATTTAGTTACCAAATATTACACTAATACGCTAAAAAAATTTTGAATAGCTATATTACTGAATTTTTTTCCAGTATAAATGTAGAAAGAAATACGTTAGCTGGCATCTTAGATATAAAATATTTTATTCATTTGTGTTATTTTAGTTCTTATTTTTTTATATTTTATTTCCTGTTAAACTTCTTTAAAACAAAAAATTTCAGAACAACACGAAGATCTATAATATCTTGCATTCTATATGTATATAAGTGTAGATATTGGCATTGTAACGCTTATAACGGAAGAATATATCAAATAAAAAAAAAGAATTAGAGAATTAACTTGATGGTAATTTATATTGCCGATGAGAGGTACACGACACTCTATTCGCTTCGTGTGAAATAGAGCCCTCGGGGTTAATTAAATCAACGGTAATCGGTCCGCCGCCACTCGTCCCGTGCCATTAAAATTATAGTCACAATTTGGCACACGTGTCCCCCATAATTTGCCTTGTCGAATTAATACACATATAAAGAACTTGTTAGATTAAGTGTCATCGACTCCGAAATATGAATTCTTTTAATTTCAATCCCTTCGCACCGCGATAAAAAAAATATTCATGGAGTTATCAAACAGGAGGCTTGGAATTTTTAGTTTTTACGATAAATAAAATTATTTGATGTTATACGCAACAAAATACTGAAAATTATACATTTTTTCACGATTAACAAAACTTTAAATACTTTCAAAACAAATGTGATTTTAAAAATTACAATTGAAAGTAATTAATTCTGCAAGATACATAAAACGAATGTCGAGTTGTGGAATATTTATTATTTTCATCTATTATTATTTTTATCAAGCTATTCTTTTCTGTGATTATTCGTATATTTAAAGGATTCTATAAAAATTAAATATGTATGTCTAAAAAAAAAAAAATTATAGTTATGCTGAAAAATCGTTCTTTATTTAATAGCTATTACCAAACTCTTTTTTTGAGGGCAGATTTTTTGTCATTGAAAATTGCTCGTATTACATCATGTTTTTGAAAGAAATTGTATTTAAAAAAGTGCTGAAAATGGCATTTTTAGATTACAAATGTGACGTTATAGAACAATTTTACACTGAAAACAGAAATCATTTTGTACATACAACTAATTTGTTAATATATAATAAAAAAAACTCTTTTTTATTAAAAAAATTGGTTATTCTAAACAAAGTCTGGTTATAGAATAGCCAAAAATGGTTAGAATTATTAAAGTTTGGTTAGGACAACATAACATTTCTCTAAATATAAATATTTTATTGTAGTAATTTTTATTAAAATATTGAAGCAATATTGCTGTAATATTTTGTACGGGTTATATCTAAAGAAAAATCACATTTATATTTACACAATAAACGATTTGATGATGATAGGTTTTTTGTGTATTGAAAATTTAACTTTTTAGACTTGTTCAATTTTTAACTTTAATTATATAATTCGATATAGAAATCTTGCAGCAGTCAGAGTGTTTGTATTCATATTTGTAGGGGCCAAATATGTAAATATCTATGCACGTGCATTATAAACGTTTGCATAATGCTCGAAGTCGCTCAACCGTGATGGCTAACCAATGACGATAATAAAGTGTTAGTTAACAAGCCTCCCGAGGCTCTGAAAGAGGAGTTAACGGTTGCAGCGCGAAAGTTACGACATGGCGGCGGTGCGTTAACTACCGGCGATACTTAACTGTTCTCCCTTCTAACATTTAAATCGCACCGAACATTTGGTCGTGCAGTGCATTAGTCCTGGTAGAATGATCATGGATACATGCGATGATCGGAGGGATCCACGTGTATCTACCAAGCGGACTTAAGTAATGAACAACGTCGAGGGGGATGCGAATATTAAATTACAAACGCCATGCACTTGTGCGTGCACATTGTCATCGCGTTTGCAGCGAGTTTCCAATCTCGTTGACTCATTCTAAAACGCGAAAAAGTATAGAAGAAACATTTAGCCGCATGAATAGATCGATTTTGCTACAAAATATCTAAAAATTTATTTACTTACAAATAATGGAAATAATTGTATTGGATCATCAAAATAATTATGTAAAACGTTCAAGTGTTGATGAAAAGGTTGCAGAATGTTTTAATATTTACAAAGTTTTTAACATTCTAGCAACTATATAGTTTGAGGTATCCTATTATACGTAATTATTTTAATAGTTCAAATAAAATTATTTTCGAATCTGTATCTAATTAAATTTTTAGATACTTCAGCAAAATTGTTTTTTTCTTACACGTCATACAATAGCGAATTAAATGTGAAAAAGTAACATAAAAACGTTAAATAATTGATTTTCGCATTTAATTCCTAATTCTTGTTAAACAAAAAAATATATGCACAAAATGTATGTTTAAATAAATAAATGAGAGAAAAAAATGTTTGATAAATAAATAAGAGGAAAATTATTTTTGAAATGTATGCGTCTATAATTTCCACTCTTAATTATTTTATTAATTAAATAACAAGTATATTATTTTAATCAGTGTAGCCACGAACATAATCAAGAATAGTATAACTTATTTCTAAATTTTAAATAGTAGTTATAAAATTTGCTGCATCGAGGGTAATCTATTTTATAAATTTAATAGATTAAATAATTATAGTAACAGTAAGTATATATATTCTTAGTTAAAAGATTATAGGATATTTATGCATGTAAAAAAAGACTTCTAATAAAATGTTTACTGTTAATTAAGAATTAAATTTTTTAAATTTATGTCAGAAATTTAATCAATGAACTTATTATTTACAGAGAGAATGTGCCGTTAATTTTTAAAAAAATCTTATTTAGTTTTCGTTTCCAAATTGTGATAAAATAAAAAACTCTTTAATTTATTGATAATTTTTGCTAAAATTATACAATTTTTTTTATACGTTATTTTCTCACAAAATCTTCAAATTTCTAAAGTTTTTTGTGTTTTTAATTTTCAATTAACAGTAACAATTTTACTGGAAAAGTCTCTTTCCATGCGCAATGATCGTATAACTTCTTAAATCAGCTGTAAACACTCAGAGACTTGACGGTCAGCGCATATACAAATGGCGGAAATTCTATCACATCATTGCCTCGCATTTTCACGAGGCCCGCGTCCAATTTGTACAATATATAGCCAGAGAGGGGATGGTCACCCTCTAGGCTCACTGACCACGCACCCCATAAATATATAGAAACCACATAAACTGACCATCGTGAGTGCTCGAATCGCGACGCATTCGCGTACTTCGCAGACAACCCTCCTGCTGAGACCCTTTACGTCGACCTAGACAAAAGTTGTTTTACCCCTGGAGCTAAAGCGATGCTGGGTACGCCCAGCCGAGGGTAGTAGCTAGAGTACACAGACTACCCTCCTATCGGACTAAGAAGCACCGTTCACGTCAGATTATCGCTTAAGTGGCTCGATACTCTTCCCTTAAGTGGTAGCTTAATCTCATGTGTGCGTATTTACTCACACCGCGCTGCACTGCTCATTTAACCCTTGTACATTAGTCTTGTACATTCGTGGTATACACTAAAGTGCAGAGGGATAAGCGTTAATTTGGTAACAAACTTTATACACGCGATAATATTATTTGATCTAGTAATTGACGTGTATACATGTACATATATGACTAAAATATGAGTATTAATGTTTTAAAATTGCAGATATATTTAAATCTATTATCTCTTGATTTCAAATATTTTATTGTTCTAAAAGTATTTATTATATTATACAAAATATTTTGTGTTTGTGTTGAAACTGATCCTTGTTAATATTTAAAGTATCTGTATCTGTATATAATACAATTCGCATATCATTTTTGCACATCATGTATCTATTATCTGTTTATAGATACATATATTTGATTTGTGTATTTAAAATGTATTAGATACATTTTAAAAGTATTTTACCAATCACTAGCCAAAGCTATTTCAATTTCATTGCGAATTCTTATAAACTATAAAAAAGATTCCTTTTTATCTGAAAAGGAATTCAGAATTGGTAACATAATAGTGAAGTCTTTTGGAACTCTAAGAATGTTTTTAGTTCGAAAATGGAATGGAAGAAGAATACATTTCATAATTCGGGAATTTAAAAAGGATTTATATTTTTTGAATACTTTATATTGTTTGGAATATGCAAACTGTAACGAAATTTCTAGAAACTTTAGTTAATTTCGCCCGATTGACAGAAATAAAAAGGCTTCTTGCCAAAGGGAACACCGCCCTTGCAGTTTCATCGACGAGAAACAATTAATAACAATTAAATTCGAATTCAGCATCTCCAAGGGAGATCCCCCTTCTCATCCGAGCAAAAACATCGTTGATCTATGCCCCCGCCAGCGTAAGATTATAAATGTCATCGTCCGCGTAGCTCTTTTTTCCATATAATATATATCGCCTTTGTTCTTCGGACGCGCGCGGCGGACCTTGACGCGAGAGAGTAGGTTGTATTGCGCGGCTTCCTTTTCCTCTGCGAGCTTTTTGTTCTTGCAATTAGGAACAAAGTTGTTTGATAATCCGCGAGAAAATTCGTCGCGTCATCGACGTTACCAATTCATCGTGGGCGCATTATGCGGAGGAATTTATGA